TTTCTCCGCACCTAGTGAATTTTGTGAATTTTTGGACCGTTTTATGTGTTAAGTTTTATGATTAATATCAAATTGTATATGATGTTTCTTTTAATATGAGTTTAACTCACAGAATACTGGCATTATAAGCAAAATGCTTTATTTATTGACGAAAAAACAATAACAATCCTTAAGGTATCCGTTTTACCTCGATTTCCCCTACTTCTCAAAGTAATGTTAAACTCCGCTTATTTCAGGTTTGCGTGTGAGGCTCTATCAACTGTCTCGTTTTTCGTTCCCTAAGTTTCGGCCTTAGGGTTGCGGTTTTTTTCAATGTTGTAAAAAGTATGTAACGGAATTACAACCCAAGGACAGGGCTTGAAAGGGGATCGCATATCGACTGTGACTGCGTGATCGCGTACGTTTTCTGCATTCAATGTGCAAAGCAAGCACGTTGGTTTTACTGGCAAAATGGCGCAGTCGTTCTGCCTTTTGTCGATTGCTTGTGTGCTGTTTGCTGCAGCAACTCGGTGGAAGCCGATTTTTCAATTCATTCATTCTCCCACTTATCGTGCATGTTGAAAGTTGAAGCTGCAGAATGACCGGGAGTATGCTGCGTATTTTGTTTTCATTTCTCTTTTCCAATGGTGAGCTATGCTGTACGAGTCTCTCGATAGACGCGGTAGGAAATATGTTATATTCACCGCTATAACTCGGCTCAAATAAATCGATCTAATTTTTAATATTTAAAGTCTCTAGTTGCTATTACGGCCACATTTGACCGATTTTGAATCTTTTGGCACCATAGGATTCAGAAACTTGTGTTCTTTCTGGACATTGCCAACAATGTCCATTTGGAATAGTCTGGTTCTAGGAAATCCGGATTGTTTCAGAACTAAGCATTTTCTTGCCTTTTGCTAGAATTTTGAAGGAATCGATATCAAAGTAGAATCTCCTTCAAGAAACAATTTCAGCTTACTTGAGGACCAGTTTAAGGTTTCTCCCCGGAACGGCCATTCCGGCGCAGGTTCCCGTAGGGCCTCTAGTGGCCATAGAAGTGTTTGGGAAGAAACCGCTACAATATGGGTATCAAAATTCATGAATTTACAGCAGGAGACTGTTTATCATAATTTTGTGATCATCCGATGGATTGTCTCCGGGACGGCCATTCCGGAGTAGATTCCCGTATTACCTCTAGTGTCCATAGAAGTGTTTGGGAAGAAACCCCTGCAATATGGGTATCAAAATTCATGAATTTATAGCAGGAATTTAACAGCAGGAGACTGTTTATCATAATTTTGTGATCATCCGATGGATTGTCCCGGAGTTGGTGCCCGTAGGGCCTCTAGTGGCCATAGAAGTGTTTGGAAAGAAACCCCTGCAATGATTTTGCAGATTTTGCTCCACCTCCACCAAAGCAGGTCCGTCCAGATTATTCTTTTGCGTTTGAGTTTGACCTGACTGGTTTGTAATTTCATACTACAATAGCTCTTCGAGGTTTATAGGTTATTTTCTTCGTTTTAGCCTTTTCCCAAAATGATATACGGGTATGCCTACTATCTTTTCTTATGTAAAATTTGGAGACTACTTTTTGATAGAACTTTCTCAAATTTTCTCGTAATAATTTCCTTATAAAAATTAAAGAGCAGTATGAGATCGCAACCAAATGGGTTCAAATTTCTCGAGAGTACTTAGAAATTATAATCGATTGAGCAGGGTAGAGCAAAATCTATATTTTTAAACACCCTTGTATGGTTAGTCGTGGATTTGCTAAATATAATTTATGAACATTTTCTGTCTGTTGTTTAGGTTTGTCCTAATAAAGGGTGATTAGTGAAATGTTACGTTTATTTCCTTTGCGAGTGGGCTAAAGGGTATCAGAGTATCAAAATTTAATAAAATGTTGCCCTTGGGTAGAGTTTATATTAGATGGAAGGAAAAAATAGAGTCGATCTTCAGTGAAATTAACTTTCCTCTCATCTCTGAATTCTATCAGCATCGATGTTAATGTATTTCTTGGTTTTCCCCGATGAAAAACTGGTACCTAACGCACTAGCTAGCGCGTCAAGAATCGCACGCATTTTGGGCCAGTCAATCGAAGACAAAGGCATATTCCTCACAGCCACAAGCTTCACGCACGAATCGTTTTTTTTCATTTTCTTCGATTTTGCTTCCACTTCCTCACCCTCCTTAAAAAAAAACCCTTTCCTTGGCCTACGCGACATGTGTACTGCGAAAATTACGCACAAAATTTCCCGCATCAAAATTCTTCTGGAAATATTTACAACTTTCATCACCACTCAACCTACACCACACACCCACGTAATTTTGCACAACGAAATCCTTCGCCAAATCACGAAACTTCCTCTTGCCTGCGATTTTCTTTCCAATTTCAACCAGTTTCTTATTAAAAACCACACTGCTAAGTTTGCAAATAACGGCGCCGGTGGTGTAGTGGTAAGCGTAATTACCTCTCACCCAAGCAGGCCTGGGTTCAATTCCAGTCGGCGCCGCCGGGATGTTCTGAGGCATAACATCTCTGATCACGCCTTCCTTCGGATGGGAAGTAAAGCCGTTGGTCCCCGGTTCATGAGTTGATGGGTCGATAGGTAGGGTCCAGGTGTGGGAGCTGCCTTCCTGGCACGTCGGTAGCATTGGTGCTCAGCACGGAAAACAAGATCGACGGAAAAAACAAACCAAAGGAAAAAAAAAACCCGAATTTATCCACCTATGGTGTGAACAGACCCTTCTTACTTATTCAAGTTTATTTATTTTATTGTCATTATCAGTGACCAAGCCCCCCACCCCCGTGTCATCCAGTGACGCTACGCCACTGCCTGGGGGTACCCGGAATATATCCGGGTGTAGTCTATTTGGTGAGGCTACCAATCACCTTATCAATTCATATTCAAGCAACTTCCCCGGGGTACCCGGAACATGTCCAAGTGTGTCTAATGTGGTCTGGAACACTTAACACGACTTGCATTGATCTTATTTTTGAATTCTGTAGTAATTTGATGTGTCGCATGATGGTTTTAATACGTTTTCCGTTAAATCCAGCGTGAAGGCCCATATTCACCGGATCTTATTCCGGCCATATCTCCGGAACCGGTTCACCGATTCCAAAACCGTTCAATGGGACCCCAAGACCTATCATTTGGCGCCAAGTTTGTCCAAATCGGTCGAGCGATTGCTGAGAAACGTGAGCGCATTCATTTCCTAACATACACACACACATGCACACATATGCACATACACAAGTAGCCACACACACACACACACACACACACACACACACACACACACACACTCACACACACACACACACACACACACACACACACACACACACACACACACACACACACACACACACTCACACACACACACACACACACACACACACACACACACACACACACACACACACACACACACATACACACACACACACATACACACACACACACACACACACACACACACACACACACACACACATACACACACACACACACACACACACACACACTCACACACACACTCACACACACACACACACGCACACACACACACACACACACACACACACACACACACACACACACACACACATACACACACACACTCACACACACACACACACACACACACACACACACACACACATACACACACACACACACACACACACACACACACACACACACACACAGAGAGACATATTCCGATCTCGTCGAACTGAGTCGAATGGTATATGATGGGTTTGATACGTTTTCCGTTAAATCCAGCGTGAATGCCCATATTCACCGGATCTTATTCCGGCCATATCTCCGGAACCAGTTCACCGATTCCAAAACTTGGGACCCCAAGACCTATCATTTGGCGCCGAGTTTGTCCAAATCGGTTGAGCGGTTGCTGAGAAACGTGAGCGCATTCATTTCGTTACATACACACACACATACACACACACAGACATGTTCCGATCTCGTCGAGCTGAGTCGAATGGTATATGACACTCGGCCCTCCGGGCCTCGGATCGATAGTCGGTTTTTCAAGTGATATCTATACCCTTCTTTGTAAGAAGGGTAAAAAAAAGTTTGCAAACACTACCTGCGCTAGAGGTGACTGCCGTAGAACTGATTTTTTTTTGCAGTCATTCACTACAGCAAACGACAAAGGGAACTTGACCGAAATGAAAATGTGAAAAAAATCAAAACGAAGCAGAGTGACTAAACGAGAGAGGATTTTTTACGAGAGGGAGCAAATACTGATTTTTCTACCTATTCGTTACGCTGTGCATTTGGAATTATGAATGCGAAAAGTAGCGTGGAGCAACGGATGGTATACGAAGTACCGCACACAAAGGACAGCTTGAAATTGAATGAATGGTTATGTTGACTGCTCATGAAAAAAAGGACAGACAGAAGCCCTGCCCAAGGAAAAGACAGCAACCCTACGGCCGAAACGTGAGGAAGGTAAAAAAACAACCGTTTCTACAAATAAGATTGCAATGCAGGAATTCCAAGAAATCACCGATAGTATCACTTATTAAACATCGGTTTTTTGGGATCTAAAATCTCTCAAAAACTGCCCACGTGGATAGTTTATTCTCATTTTATTGTTTTCCCTTACTTAGGGGATATGTCGACAACGGCAATAACTTTACCAATTATCGTCAAGTCCTTCAGCGCTCAAATAAGTCAATCGATCATCTGAAACACCCTACTGACGGTATTGCCGAAGCCGTCATTTAGCCTAACTAAAGAAAATTATGTATGTATCAGATATTTATAATTTAAAGTTCCTACAAAAGTAAGACATTAGGTTCGGTTATACATTTTGAAGTTTGTTCAATTTTGTCACATTTCCAAATTAAATACTCACTTATACAAACGTCGGGCGTATGCCAAATTATTTTTTTAAAGGAATTTGATTCGTTAATTGATTTGTACAAAGAAATAAGTTTATTTCTATACTTTTTGTGATGCCATATTAATTTTTTTTTTGTATATTTTCAGCCACATAGAACTTATTACTTAGAGGATCCTCAAGGATATGCGCTTAAATGGTGTCAAGCAATACAAGAAGTCTATGATAAAGCGTATAAAAAATAAATGCTAATTTTCAATTATCACTGTCACTGTAGTATAATTATAACAAAGTCAAAAAAAAAATTAAGTATAATAGTAGTCGACACTTATTTTCTAAAACTATCCCTTAGCCATACATACCATCACACGTGCCTGAGAATAAACGATCGCTACTCATCCCGCCCGGTTAGCGTCAAATATGGTAAAATTCAGGTTCAAAAAAATTATCTGTCGATTTAGTACCGGTTTAATGAAAAAATAACACATAGGGTATACGTCCCTAACCTCGGTCTAATATGCAGCCATAGATTACGTTTTTAATCATAACTCATCAATTAATTTACCTGCAAACGATATTCTACTGCTAAATGGTATGCTTAGATATGCTTATCATGTCGTTTGCTATCAGGAACCGCAAAAAGTTGAAAAACTTACTTTTTTTAAGACAAAAACTCACCAGGGAAATGTATGTAATATCGGTCTATTGTCCCCAAATTGGGTCTATTTATGGATGCAACTTCGTCCTATCCTGTTTGATTCTCAAAAAAAACGCTCTTGGTAACGTTTTCTTATGTATTTTTTTTTATCACTATCACTGTTAACTTAATACTCTTCATTCCTCAAAACATTTCTTAGAGAAAATTTTACGAAAACTACATTAAATCACTCAAGTTAAAAATTAAAAATTAAAAATTTCGCTTATCGTCTTTCGACCGCAGAATATCTAAATCAAAACATTGTGATGTTCATTATACAGATTTGGCAGAAAAAATCTCCCTTCCTGTTCGTTCCTTATCATCCAAATGCAAACTACATTGTTGACGTTACTCTTATTGCTATATGCTGTCAAATGAATTTCATGGGCCAAAGTTAGGAACATAGAAAAGAAATGTGTCCCTAAAGTTGGGTCCATGATTTACTTGTGAAAACGTTGTTAAACAATTAAAATAAACATAAAATATTCAAACAGTAACTGTGAGTTTTACGTCTAGTGTGTATTATCAGGTAATTCCATTCAATAAATGCCATAATCAGGCCATTTGATGATCGTCAGTGCAACCTTCCCATCTTAACCTTAGAAGTCATGGCGGCTAAAAACTCCGAACAGAGTGATATTCTCAACCAGTTTTATTACTTACGAGAGCTGAAAATGTATTGAAATGTTGTGATATAAATTGATTTGTGTGTGGTACACATTTATCAATCATCAGTGATCAATATTTTCCTTATTTTTTGTGTAATATTCCTTAATTAATTATTTATTTGCGTGATAGGCCGAATGAAAGGACTAGACCCACATTACATACCGTAACCCTACCTACCTATTATAATATTTACCTGAACCGTAAGAAAATACTTTCAATACCTAATTCTGTCTTTAGTTTCCTAAGCATGCTTTCAATGCTTTCCTACAAACATGTACCTTCTATTTAGATCTCAGGTTGATTGGTCAGGGGCTTCATAGCCTGGTCAGTGAAGGCACGGTATTACCAAGCCGGGGGCGGCGGGTTCCATTCCCGGTCCGGTCGAGGGAATCTTTCGGGTTGGAAATTTTCTCGATTACCCTGGACATAGAGTATCATTGTGCTTGCCACACATTATACAAATTCATGCATTGGTATTGGCATCGAAAGCTGCTCTCAATTAATAACTGTGGAAGTGCATTTAGAACACTAAGTTGAGAGCACGCAATAAACTAATATGCGCTAAGCTGCCGCTCTTCGCATGTCGGTCCCATAGTCGTTTTTGTCAATACTAAGTATTTTAAATGCAAATGGTAGCTAACTACCCATATTTTCATAATACTGGATGAACTCATCAACTTTGTTCTGAAAAGGTCATCACATAAGATGCAATGGTACGAAGCAAACTTAAAACGTGATTTTCTCGGCTTGTCGATTTTTGCTATGTGACGGACATGCGAAGAGTGGTAGTAAGCAATAAGCATGAAATGCGAACAAGAAGAAGAAGAAAAAGAAGAAGTTGGTTGGAATAATGAAACTGTGATAGCTCATTTTGGATTGTTAGCGGAATGCTTAAATAAAACACCAAAAAAGCATTTAATTTCACTTAATTAATTTTGGTATCCATGACAGATACGTATTTTGACTACAATGTGCAGTCTTCACATGCAGAAAAACTTTGTCGAAGACCGCAATTTGATTTGATTTCTGTGCAAATTTTATTAACACCACGAACACGATGCCTCCGGTAAAATGTGTAACGGCAGATTGGCAATGTTTGAAAAATCATTACTCAGCAATTTATCGATAGATTTTAAATCTATTGATACCGAATAAATGATGTAGTTGGCGCCAATAGATTTAAAATTCGTCAATAAATAGCAGAGCTATGATTTTTCATACATTGCAAGTTTGCCGTTACACATTTTACTGGAGATATCGTGTTCGGAGCAAGGGGCAATTCAACTTTACTAGAGCAAATAGTTTTGCAGCGAGTAAATTTGAGTAACTCAGATGTACTCAAAAATGCAAACCTTCAGAGGAAACTGGAAAGTTGAGACTAGTGTCCTCTATCCGAAATTGTAATCTTATAATAAAGTTGGCGCCGGTGGTGAAGTGATAATGTTTGCACCATCGTACAAATAAGGTTCCCGTTTCACCTGTGCATACAATGCCTTGGTTTTCTTTGCATGCACGTAACCTATAGCTCATGCCGTAGTAGGCTTTGTATAAAAGAAAATGATTTACTTAGTTTGACAGCTGAACCATGACGAAGTGGCAGCGTATTCGTGATTTGTCCCACGCGCAAATGTCGCAAAAAGACATTTCAATCACCGTGTCCCGGTGGACCGTCAAAAGGGTTTTAGACCGAGGAAAGAAAGGACAACTATCCGCGAAGGTGGCCACAGGTCGTCCGAGGTCAGCTTGGTTTCCGAGGGTTATCGCTGCTATCAAAAGGAAGATTCGGGTGAATCCAGTGCGTTCAATAAGGAAAATGGCAATGGAACACGGGATCAGTGACTTTACGGCACGGAAGATCGTAAAGGAAGATTGCGGGGCAAAGTCGAGGGAACGAAAAAAAAACTCACATGATTACCAACCGCATCCGGGAGCTACGAGTCGAACGATGCAAGAAAATCTTGAACTTCCTTAAGCGCAAAAATCCGGTAATCCTGTTCACCGACGAGAGCATGTTTACCGTCGATCCCGGATCAAATTCCAGAACCGTCCGGTTTATTAGTTCTTTTCCGGTAAAAGACGTGACCGACGAGCACAAGAACGTGTATCTGACCAAGCATCATGCTAGCATTATGGTGTTTGGATTGGTGGCTTCCGATGGCTAAAAAAATGGACCCGGTGTTCATTCCAGAAGGCGACAAGGTCAACACGGAGGTCTACATCGGGATTTTAAGTAAGTATGTTCTTCTGTGGATCAAAGAACAGTACGGTCCATAGTCAAATGTTGTATTTCAATAAGATGAGGCTCCGTACAACACCTCGAACAGCACTTAGAAGTGGTTGCAGAAACATCTTTCGTTCTGGGCGAAGGATATGTGGCCGGCATCCAGCCCCGATCTTAATCCGCTGGATTACTCAATATGGCGCGTCATGAAGGCCAAGGCCTGTTCTAAACGCCAGCCGAGTACAGCAAGCCTCAGACAAACATTGACCCGTATCTGGAGAGAAATGGATCCACACTACATTATTAGAATCTGAAGCGTGTGGAGGCCGTGATTGCAGCAAGTGGAAACTCGATCGATGATTAACATAGTTTAAGACTCTGAGAAACATCCCCCTTTAAATAAATAAAAAAAACTCGAAAACGAAAATTTTGAGATTTTTTTAAATTTTGACATTGCTTAATGGTGCAAACATTATCACGCATACATAAAAAAACTCGAAAACGAAATTTTTGAGATTTTTTTTTTATTTTGACATTGCTCAATGGTGCAAACATTATCACGCATACGGTAGGTGTGATTGGAATTTTCTGAGGCATAAAATCTCTGATCACGTCTTCCTTCGGAAGGGAAGTAAAACCGCTGGTCCCTGTCCATGAGTTTGATGGGTCGATAGGTAGGGTCCAGGTGTGGGAGCTGCCTCCCTGGCGTACTTCAGTATGGAAATCAAGATCGACGGAAAACAAATCAAGGAAAAAAAAATAAAGTCACTCAGAATCTGTTTATTGGTTTGCCAGTGATAAAATCATATTTATTTTTAAATTTTATTTCAATGAAAACAAAACTGTATAAGTTTATTTGCAGGATGGATCATACATATGTTAAGGAGCTGTCTGAGGAGACGATTGAATTGAAAAATATGCACTAATGATTGTCCACAGGTGGAGGTTAAAGTCTGAAACTTATCAAATCCTGTTCACGATGATGTATGCGAAGCGAACAGCCCTAGTACCATAGAGGTAACTCTAAGACCACTGGGTCCCGAAGAAAATCATTATTATTTTTGGCTCACTCAGTACCAGAACAACGGTCCCAAGCAGTCCCAAGCTATTTCACTCACCCCTGCATGTTCTGCATGAATCCACACACCCCTGATGTTATCTGTCAAACTTTCATAGCGAATCAAAACAAACATAGTGTAGTAATAGAATTTCAACTAGAATAGGGTACGTTAATCGTTTGCTTGGGACCAATAGGCTACTAAAGTGGTGAGCCAATTTAAAATCGTTAGTTTCGTATTGATTGTTGCTAGTACACACTAAGATTTTTTTTTTTACAGAACATTGTAATTTTTTACCGAATATGGAACAGCTGAACATTCGGTAATCGATTCGGTAATTTTTATGTTTTACAGTACGTTCAGTAAATTTATATTCAGCTGAGCTGTCAAAATTTACCGATACATACTGCAAATTTTGCATTTACCGCTCTGTAAATTTTTACCGAAAATGCTGTAAAATGTTTACCGGTCGATTTAAAATTTGTACTGTAAAAATTACCGATTGTGTTGTTACTGCTTTTTTTTTATTGATTTTCTTTCTTTTTTCAAATTTGAAGTTAACAATAAGATAAATACGGTATTTGGTATATTTTTTTTTTTTCTACGAATGTCATTAGCTAC